TGTAATAACTAAATGGAACTCTAAATATTTAATGATATCAACAGTAAACAAAGTAAGTTAAACATATTTTTCATAATGTCTTTTATGTTCTTCTTTTATAACCTTTTTGAGATATAACATTGCATTGTTAATAATATATTTAATTTATAAAGAATTTAGATGTAATTAAAGAGCTAGGAAAATGTATGACAGAGCCTTTATCTTTAAAAGAAGTCGAAAATTTTTTAAAGCCTTTTTATAAAATAACACTCGAAATATCGTCAGATACCATTACAATTGGAACCGCTGTTTTATTTATAGCAAAGATGGACAAAATTTTAGGGGAGGCTTCCAAAAAACATCCAGATGATGATATTAAAAATGCGGATGTAAAATGCAGATAAAATGTGGAACGTATAAAAACTATCTGAGCACATTCAGCAATTATGTATCTACCATGTTAGATCCGAAAACTAAGATGAAATATATGCCTCATTTTGTAGCAAAGCAGGATTATAATGAAAAATTCAATTTATTATATAAAACCTACGGGTGGCAACACAAAGCAAATGTGTATGACTTCTCTCTAGATTATTTGGAAACACAGCCTTATTCGGTCTGTATGCATCACGAATTGAGAAAGTAATTATAAATATTTGGTTATATTAATTTATAATTTTAGAGTAGCTTGTGAATTTCCAGATCTCACAAGAGATTAAATTATAGAATATGTGAAAGAACCGGTTGCACTAGTGTCAACTGTGATTTTTACCCAACCTTGTGACTGATAGCTAAGGATTACCTTGCTCAACAAACGTCCAGCTTTCCAAGCGAAAGAGCATTCAGCAAGACCGCTGATTTTTTGACCAATAAGCGAAACAGGATGTCACCGACAACACTTAAACATTGTATCTGTTTAAATAATTGGGATGTTTCAATATGAAATCATTATCTATTAATATATACATTTGTATCTTATTGATTATATTATATATCTTGTTATTTGTATTATACAGTTATCAATAAATATTTAAAATATAAATAAATATTGTGTAATTTATATATTATTTTGAAGATATTAAGTAACAATTAATTTAATATAAAATTATAAGCCTCTTAAGATCAAAAATATTTTAATGTATGTTTCTCTATTTTAATAAATAATTTTTATGTAAAGTTAAAATAAAGTTAAACAGCGAATGTATTTTAAAAATACCTCAGCTTAGAGAATTCTCAAATATCATAAATTATGTCTTGCGTAATTTTTATGAGAATATTAAATATAGAATTATCAAATAAGACATTTGAATAACTAAAGAATCTACGCGAATAAATTTTTTATTAATAATTAAATTTTTATAATAAATAAAACAATAAAATATGTTACTTTTTTTTTATAACTAAATAAAAATAAAAAATAAAAAATACAAATCTTATTTATTTTAAAAGTACCATGAAAACAAATAATATATGATTAAAAAGAGGAAAAAGGGAGTGTTTCGAAGAAACAAAAAATAAATTCAAATTTTATTAATTATTGAAAAAACATTTTCAGGCCTGGATAGGAATATAAAATTAGTGAGCCAGCTAAATTATTTTCGTGGGATAAAAAATTATCCCGATAAGAAAAATAGGTCTAAAATAAAACCAATGTTTGTCTTGACATAATAGAGCTCTGGTTCTTCTAAAATAATTCGGCAATATACATCACAGTATGAATAGGTCTTAAGCAGTAACACCCCCCCCCCCCATTCGCGATTTTTATAATAAACATCTTGTTGGTATAAAGTGTATCGCTATATTATATTGTTATAATGTTTGTTCACAATTCTGATAAAAGCTTTAAAAAAATATATTAAAAATTCTAGTCTAACACGATATTCCCCATTCCTGATAATTTATTCGTTCGCTAATCGACATATAACTCGTATTCACGCACGACTCAAGTTGGAAGTCTAAAGTAAAAAATAAAAAAAACAGAACAAATATTTTATTAATTAATAATAAAATTTCAAATCTTCGTTCTCTGGTCGATGACTCAAGTTCATAGAACTATTCGTCCTCTAGTCTACTAAAGTATATTATATTTCGTATAGCGACTCAAGTTGGAAGTCTAAAGTTGAAATTAAAATACAAATGTTTTATTAAAAATAACTAATTTAAAATCTTCGTCCTTTTGTACTTTGTTTCATAGAACTATTCGTCCTCTAGTCGATTCATGTTGATAGACTTGAGTTCACAACTCGAGTCAATTTTGGGTAAATTTTTTCGGCCCAAAACTTGACTCCAGTAGTCGACTTAGTCGATTAACAACACTAGTATAAGAGATTTATATATAAAAAGTAAGTAGGCATATAGTTTATAATCCTCTATAATATATAATTATTTATAAAATATTAGGTAAAATGCCACTTTTACAGACGTGTTTAACAGTTATATAATATATTACAGTTAATATTTTAAAATTTTATTAATAAATGCTTTTGATAATAAATATAAGTAACAATTTTCATTCAATTATTTAAAGGCATCTATTTATTTAAAATATTATTAAAATTAAACGTCTTATTTTTCATCCCACAATGGATGTAATAAATTAGATATATTTCTTCTCTTTTTTTACATGTTTTTAAGAAAGCTATTTTTTTTCTTCTTTGAAAAAGAGTTTTGAGTTAAATTTTTAATATTAAATATATTTTTGATATTATTACAAACTACTATTATTTTAAGATATAATATACCAAAATAGAGGTGGTGCGACAATAAGATATGAAATCTTAATTGCTTGCATGATATCACTCTGGTTCTTATTTTATAGTTACAAAATACTAATATGGCACCTTGCCTTGTAAATAACTCAAGGCTTCAATATATTTGCATAATTTCTTCTAAAGATATTTAGTGTTATAATTTATCTAACATAATAAATTTTGATATGAGTTACCATCGTGAGTGTCATGGCTATGACTACAAATTAATTAGTGTGGCTATATAATTTAAGATTATTACTACAGCTGCTGAGAGCATATGATTGCATATTTTAGACAAGCAATAATGGTCAACTGTGTAGTCGTTTATATATCATTAAAAATGGAAGATAATCTTTTATAAATTTAATATCTCACAATAATTTTCTCGATTACTTATTTAGCTTCCATCATGTCATCTTAGAGGAAGCTCTAACCACCATAGAGGTTTATAATTTGGATTGGTCATTTATATTCTCTTCTACATATTGTTGATTTGGTAAGGTTTATAAATTTTTCCTTATTAGTCCATTCTATAAAACATTGTCTAAAATGGTAACAGAGAGTTATACTAGTTTCATGACCTTTTGTCAATGTAACTTGCTAAAAATTATATAGCCTTATGATTTTATCATTAATTTATATTTGAAGTATTAGGAATTGTAAAAAATATTTTTTCCATTATCAATTGATGTATGAATTAATTAACCTATTTTATCACTTTGTTTAGACGAAAATTTTTTTTATATCAGCAATCGAAAATATTTTATACTTTAATAAATAGATTTTGTATTAAAAAATATTATTTTAAAAAATGTCTTGTATTGTTTTAATTATTTATATGCTAGTTTATTTTGTATGCAAAACAAAATATAATAAATGACAAAATATGAAATTCAGAATTATTGTTTAGAGTTAGCAAATTTTAAGAAAGTATAATATATTAATATAAAACCAGGTCAAAAGCAGGCCAAAGGCACGCAAATAAAGGTATGGGGGCCAAATTTTAAGAAAGTATAATATATTAATATAAAACCCGGTCAAAAGCAGGCCAAAGGCACGCAAATAAAGGTATGGGGGCTTCGCCCCCATAAATTTTTTTTTTTAGTTGAGCCCCCTGAGATTATAAAGGCTAGCGACGCCCCTGATAGATGATGATATTTCTAATGAAAAATTTAAAAGTTCCTTAACTGCATAGATGTTTTGTCCTCATGAAAGGAGCTATCATCTTACAAATTTGGTCATGGTTGTTAATTGAACGAGTTTAAGTGTAGATAATTTGTAAAACCTAACATTCATCATATTAATGAACCTTCGATTTCAGGGTCAATTTCAGATTCATATATCAAAATATGGAAAAGAATCATTACGGGGTGATAGAAATATTTTCAAAAATAAATGCTGCTCAAAGAAAATAAAAAATAAAAGATTTATTTGAAATTTATTCATATTTTTATTCATATAGATATCGGCGGCACTATGACATCATTTTTAAGTTTTAAATTAGACCCCCCCCCCCCCCCTCCGTCATATTTTTAAGCAATACACAGCTGATAATAATGTTTTTTATTTTTTACTTTTATTGTTTTGGAATTATTAAATGATAACATATTAAATGAACATTTTTTTGTTATTATTCAGCGTTCATTATCTTATTTTGTTGTAGAAACAACAATAATATAATTTTATATAGAATAAATTAAATCATTTTTGGATTTTGAAAATTTTATTAATTCATTATTATGATTACCAATTGAGCTCAAATTGTAATTAAATGAAGGTGCCCACTTTTAATTTTCAAACTCAGAAGTTAAATATAAGGTGTAGGTAACTAAATTAAAATGGGAATATTACTAAATAAAACAATAAATGTTTTATATTAATCGAATACACGACATAAATTTTATAAGATGCTTAATATTTACATTAATTTATTGACCTATCTTCATAATAATATCTAAAACATGTAGACTATACCATACTTGATTTAATGGTATAATTTATCTTAATAAAGTAGATGCCAGTTTTTTATATGTCTAAGCTGTAAGCCAAGATATCTAAAGAATATGTAAATAATACATAATCCTATGATGAAACATATAATACTTTTCTTCTGGATGTAATTGTTAACATATAAAAATGTTATTTGTAATTAAGCATATAAAATGTTTTTAAAATGCTGATATTTTAAGATATATAATAGCGTAAAGCATATCAGCATGCAGAAATAAAAAAACAGCGAAAATGTATTGACCTATGTATCCTTCCGCCATTTTTATTTTTAAATAAGATGGTGGCAAAAATTATTTTTATTGGTGCTCTCCTTTAGCCAAATAACGGTTTCTAAAAGATAATGGAAGTTCCTAATCTAACATCGTTAACTGGCTATGAGCAAAAGTATGAAAATATTGGGTATTTAATTTAGTTTACAAATTTTAGGAATTAGTATATTCATATATTATTTAATATATTATATATAGAGAAACGAAAAATCAAAATATTGAAGTTTTAGCAGAGAAACATGTAACTTTATTTCTCAGGCTTTAAATCAATATTTTATTTTAGCCATATATGATAAAACCAGGGGTTGTTCAACCTCCAGTTAAATTGGAATACCCAAATAAAGGTAGGTCAACTAATCAACTAAACTATCTACTCAAACAGATTATACCAACAGTTTGGAAACACCATTTTGCATGGCCCTTTCAAAAACCTGTAGATACAGTTGCCTTAAATTTACCTGTATAATTTATTTAATTTTTTTATTATAACAATAATTTATAGGATTATCACAAAATTATTAAACATCCTATGGATATAAGCACAATTAAGAAAAGATTAGAAAATCATTATTATTATTCATCAAAAGAATGTGTAAATGATTTCAATACAATATTTACCAATTGCTATGTATATAATAAACCTGGTGAAGATGTTGTCTTAATGGCACAGGCAATAGAAAAAGCATTTCAGGCTAAATTGACACAAATGCCTTTGGTAGAAACTGAAATACCACTTCTAAATAAGGGGAAAGGTAAAAGAGGAAGATCAATTAAAGGTTTTTATATTGGGTATAAATGGAAATATATTTTTTCATAGGGTTTAACAACCAAATAATAGCAGAAAAAATTAATCTTCCAACAAAAAATTATGATATTATAAGTGGTGATGATGAAAGCAATGATGATTCATTATCCCAACTTAATAACAATCTGATAATTTCAACAGATTTATCACCCTTAAATCAATATCCTATACTAGACAATCAATTGAAGCCTCATTCATTATCATTCGAAGAAGTATCATTAGTTACTAGTTCAATATTAATAATGACAACATCTATTATATCTCATGCTTTTTCAAGCAGTAATAATACTAATACCAATAACATTGGCAATGCTTTCACCATTTCCACTAATTCTATTTTAAAAAATTATCCACATCCTGCATCATCTATCTCCAGGGGATCACTGATAAAATCATATATTGTTCCAAATTTAGATGCTCAAATCCTTAGCATAACTGGAAAATCTAATATCAATAAATCCACTTATCCAGTGCAGCATAAATCAGTAGTAAGGCTCAAATATATTATTATTTATAACAAAATTTTGTCCATTGTTGGATATTGCATTTTTATATTACACAATTTTGTGAGGTTTTCTATTTTTTGTTAAATAATTTCTAAATTAATTTTTTTTTCTTTTTAATTTATAAAGATAATTTGTATATAACTCAGACATGTAGCCATTATAGTTATGGAAAGGTTAAATGTTGACTATTTTGGCTCAATCTACAAGCATGTCCCTGAGAAAATCTGTTAACATTAAGGCCTTTTAATTTATATTAGTTTCTTTCAAATTTGAGCTTTCTTTTTTCTAAGAAAATCCCCTATGCTAAAATGATAGCCTTCGGCCAAAAACAATTCTAAAAATATATTAATCACTTAACTTAAATAGCCAGCAATAATGTTGTTAAATGGCTCAATTTTAGCCAATTTTTAAAAACTGATAACTCCAGAAAAATATTACACATGCTTGGAGATTTTGCTTATAAAAGGCACAAAGATTTGGTGATCCATTAGCGAAATCTTGAAGCTTAGATTATATTTTTCCGTTTCCCTAACTTTCATATAAAAACCTTTCATATAAAAAATTGCAACTGAGAATAATTGCGACTTTTTTTATGATTGGTTGTGATAATTGCGACTTTATACCCATTGGTTATAAAAAATTAAACATATTTATAATATATATTTGAAAAATCGTGATTTTTGGAAAGCCTCTACGAGGCAAGAGCTTGGCTTACTTATCCCATGGTCCCGGGTTCGAATCCCGGGAATGGTCATGTTTTTTTTCTTATTCTAACTTGGTGGTTCTATCCTTGGGGGGATAATATATAGGAAGCCAGACTCGACCACGTGATTCCGTATTAATATATTAAATAATAAGAGTTTTATTACATTTTAATAAATTTTGGTTGGTATTTAGCAAATTAGGTTGGTATTTAGAATATTTACATACATTCATTCATTAACCATATAAAGTCACAATTATTTATATGAAAGGTTTTTATATGAAAGTTATACCAACCATATTTTTCTGGCTGAAATATTGAGATGACCATATACATAAATATATACAATCTATTGTGTTTAAGCTAATTTTTAAAATGATTTCATTAGTGTTTGGCAGGGTTGTTACTTCAATTTAGATTATCTTTAAAATTGGTTCTAAACTAGTCTGGGGTAAATAATATTTGGTTGACTAAAATCTTAGGTTAATAGAACTAATTTTTAGTGTCAAGTTTTGATTCCTAAACAAAATATGCTGATATAGGAATATGTCAGAAGTGTCCTAGAGAAAAATACCTTTGGACAAAAAGTAAAGAAAAGGACAAAGCTTAAAAGAACATGTTCATTTTTTATTAATAGAATATTTAACTAATGATAATGTGCATCCACTATAGATTTTGCACAATTTATAAAATATTATGCCCTTATTCTAAATACTAGGGAAATGTTTAGAAGTGGGCTAAATGTATTTAATGCAGAGTTGTGAGCCTAAGAGTTCAAGAATTTTAAACTCTTTTTAGCAGGAATTTTGACAACAGGAACTTTACTGATTTTACGATACCCAAACACATAATAATTTCTTAACCTAATTTGGGTTCACCCCTGGTTTTATGGCAAAACCTAATGTGGACTAGGGTTAATTTAAGCATAAAAGTAGATTATGAGAAATAGTTAATTTTATTAGACACTAAACACACTATATTCGGTAAAATTCAGTTCCGGACTGGTACTGAACTCATCGACCATGTTAGCATTTAGCTAGAAGCCATGCAACTAAGGTAAGGGTTAGTATTTATATTAGATGAGTAGGAATATTAGTTTGACACCAAATCAACTACATTGGTTTAATCTAAGATACTTAGAGCATAATGGAGCAATGGGTAATTCCATGACAAATCGACCAGCGATTTGGCCGACCATATCAAAAATGAATGAAACTTGGCATGAGTTACTTATGTTGTAAATGTTAATAAAATCAAAATTTTAGAGTGCTAGCTCAACCTGATCCAAAGATGTATGCCTTCTATGTCGCAAAAATCGTGAAGTGTGTGATTTCATTAAATCTTATTATTTTAAAAATACTTATGATAGAGTTACAAATTATATATCATTTTATAGCCCTTAAAATTTTACGTTGGAAAATATTAAAAAAAATTAATAAATTTCAAGTGTTTTCTTATTTTCGGTAAAAATTAAAAATTAACATTGTTAGGAAGGGATTTTTTTGGGTGCTAATATTCACTATAAATGTTTATAACCTTTATATTAAACGATTTAATAAAAAATCTTGATAGCCATTTTGTTTTTTTAATTTTATTTAAATTTTTATTATTTTTATAAATAAATGTAATATAGATGACGTTATATTTTTTATAATATATAATTTTTAATAAAAATATGAATAGTATTGTGATTAAAATTAAAAAATCAATTGAGTATAATTAAGATTGATGTCCAGGGGTGATATGTAAGCCCATACAGATATGATTTTATTAGGATGCTATATTGTAAAATAAACATATTTTAAAATTTTATACACAAACAATATAAAAATAAATACCTCTTGTTTTAATCTTATACCATTTTGTGCTTATTAATAAAATTTCTTGAGACAATAATTTGTAGGTATGTCCTGTTTTTGATTAATGGGTGACCATATCTTTTTCCTCAATTGTGGGGTAAAAGAAAGATGGCGATAGTCCACGGGGATGTAAAAAGGAAATTTATATCTCCTCAGTAATTTCATTCTTTTTTAGTATTGTAGCTAACCACCAAAAATCGTCTTAAATATATGTTACGAATCCTTATCGGCAAAAGACAAATTATTGGCATGTGAGATATTGTTAATTGAAAGTCCTCTGCATATGAATATATTTTTGATTTAAGCTTACTTAAACTCAAAGGAAATACAGCATATATTTCCTGAGTTCCTGGAATGGGACGAGCTAAATTGAATCTTCTCATGGTTTAATTTCATGTAAATTGTATTGTTCGTTGGTTATATATGTAAAATTTACTGATGGCATGTTTTGTTTTGCAAACTGATATAAATAAACGGGCGTTAAAATGTGTGCAGAATTGATGCGCTGAAGGCTTGAACGTGCTGCTAATCTTTTTAATGTTCCGCCAAGGCCATCACATGGACCTTTTCCATGGGATGTAGCTGAAAAATTTTATTCAGCTGCTATACCAAAATCTGATTCATGATAACACAGATTTATAAAAAAATTTCTGTTTTTATATTGTGCAGCTGATCTGTCAGAGCAGTAATATATTTTGTTTGGCTTTTTGCTGAATTGATTGGTCAAAAATTTTATTATTTTAGTCTGGTATAAAATAACATCATGTTGAAGTGACTCTGATATTACCATATAATTAAGGTTTTCTATATTGCCATTATTATAATATGCTATCATAGGATGGATTGTGGCTTGATTATTATTCCAATGGAATCCTTGAACAGTGTCTTGCATTATAATTGCACAATTTTCAGATAAATAACAAATTATCATAAATTCATTTGGTTGTAAAAAATGTTTAAATTTTGAAATATATAGTGTTGTACGAAGTTCGTTTTTTTGAAAAAAGGTGATGAACGGCGTTCCTTTTTTTTGACGAACTTTGAACGTGAACGCGTTCCTTTTCTTTGATGAACGCGTTCAATTTTAAAAACACTTTTTATTTTTATTTATTTCAAAAATTAATATTAATCCGCATTTTTTAACAAAAAAGTCTTATATTTTTATTTATTTGAAAAATTAATATTTAATCCAATTTTTTAACAAAAAAGTCTTATATTTTTTAATCAGCTGTTTTTACCTTTTCCTCTTTCAGATTGCAGTTAACGTATCATAACGTGCTACTGCTAGAGAAGATAAAATTAAAGTTTATTAATTTGAATATTTTATATTTTAATTTAATAGATTAGCATTTGCATGGATATAAATATTTCATCATCAGATTCTGAAAATCAAAATTCAATATTAGATGAATTAGAATTACCATAGCCCAAATATCAAAAATATTTCACTGTTTTAAATCAAAAGGTAATTCAATAGTTACCAAATGTAAAATGCGTCCAAAAAGTATTATATCAGTGTCAACATCTTCAATCTCCAATTTAAAAAGACATATTATATAATATGTATAACTATATAGCCAGTTAATAATTTATTATAATTGTTCCAAGTAAAAATAATTACATAATATATAGCTAATTATAATAAGGCATTTTAATATTAGTATTAGTCCATTCTTAGCATAGATATGAAAGGGAAACTAGTATTTTTATGGGAGCTAATTTTGTTTGTCAATGTATTTAAAATAGGGGAAAATAAGATATATACTGTGATATGTAAAATTTTAAAAAACATAAATATTAAAAAGAATATATCTTTTGTCAAGAAAATGAAAAAGATTCTTTTCAGACTAGTTAAAAATGTCAAAAAGTACTGAGTACAAGATACAAAAGGATCTTGTATCTTAGATACAAGTATTTGTGGTACTGCCAAACACTGATTTTAGAATTATTTTATAAGTCATAACTTTGTTATTACCAATATAATAAAATAATATTATCTGTAGCATAATATATCAAAAATTCCTTAATTTTTACAGAGTTCTCATGATAGTATGATGCAAGAAATTAATGATCATTTAACAAATTATAGTGATACAATTAAAAAAAAAGTAAAAGCTGAGAAATTTAAACAACAGACACTCTTAAATTATAAAAAAAATGCATCAAATGTGATTCAATCACAAATTGATGATGCAATAATTAACTTCATTATAGAAGAACTAGAGCCTTTTAATATTGTTGAAAACCCTGCTTTTGTAAAAATGATAATCACATTACAACCAAATAAAAAGGTTATGTCACGCCCCCCTTGTGTCAAAAATATCAAAAGATTATAATATCATGATAGATAAAATAATAACTTGTTTAGGCAATCAAACAATTCCTTGCATCACAGCAGATTCATGGTCATCATACCATCGGTATTTTGTACATTAAACTTTGAATATATCAATTTGTTTATATTATTAGTTCGTTTTTAGGCATGACTCTACACTGGTTAGATGCTGTCACTTTAGAAAGAAAATCGGCATGCTTAGCTTGCCAAAGGCTAACTAGCAAACACACATATGATTATTTAGAAGAAATTTAAAATACATAATAAGGTAACTTTATGTGTCACTGATAATGCAAGAAACTTTTTAAAGGCCTTTAGGTATAAATAAATAGTCTATATTTTAATTTTTATATTTAAAAAAAATTATAGATTATTTGAGAAAATATTTGAAGATGAGGAAGATGAAATTGAATCATCATCATTAAATGAGGTGCTTGAAAATCAAAATAGGGAGGAAAACTTTATCTATCTCCCCAAACATCACTATTGTGCTTGCCACAATCTTAATTTAGTGGCAAGTGTTGATGCTGAAAAAGCATTAGAAGATGTATCTTTTAAAAGAATATCAAATAGTGCATTTGATAAATGCGCATTTGATAAATGCAAAAGTTTATGGAACAACAGTCAACATCATTTGCTGCAGACTTAAAGAGTAATTTGTCAAGATTACTTATTAGGCCTGTTATTACCCGATGGAATTCTTATTATAATTATTTAAAATTAATAGATTCCTTAGTAAAAGAAAATTCTAGTTTGTTTGACAAAGTCTGTGATATGGGAGGATTAGCTAGACTCTCAAACAATGATAAAATATTTTTGGAAGAGTACTGTATTGTAAGTCCTAATAAAATTTTTTAGAATAAATATTATAATGAATTTTTTTAAATATTAAAATAGATCATGGAGCCTATTGCAACAGCTCTCACTATTTTAGAAAGTGAGGAAAAGATGCATTTGGGATATTTGACCCCGACAATAACAATAGTTATTATAAAATTAAACAAACTCAGTGGTCTAAAATATGGGCAACCATTGATAGATGCTGTATTAAATGGGATTAATAAAAGGTATTAAACCTATTACTATCAAATTAATTACATATATTTTATTTTTTTAAAGATTTCAACATATATATGAAGATCAATATCTTCTTTCAGCAATTATACATCCGATATTCAAACTTCAATGGCCTTGAATAAAGCTTCCACAAAATGAACCTTTAAAGAATAAACTTATAGCTCTTTTGAAAGCATTGAAACCCCAAGAATTGATAATGAAAGAACTGTAAATTCCGAGATATCTTTTTTTTTGACGAAGAAGAAGAGGGCAGATTGGAGGATGATAACATAGCTCAATTTTTTGAAACAATGGATAAAACATTAAATGTTTTTAATAAATTCCCCCTTAAAGAATTGTTTATCAAGTATAACACCGCAATCCCTTCATCTGCCCCTGTTGAGCGAGTTTTTAGTATAGCTAATGCTGTATTAACTGCTAAGCGTTCATGCCTATCAGATGAAAATTTTGAAAAGCAATTATTATTAAAAATTAATAAGAAAATTTTTTTATAAATTTATTTTATGTTACCTTATTATGTATTTTAAATTTCTTTAGAAGGTTTGAAATTGTTTCAGCTAAATAATCATATGTGTATTTGCTAGTTAGCCTTTGGCAAGCTAAGCATGCCGATTTTCTTTCTAAAGTGACAGCATCTAACCAGTGTATAGTCATGCCTAAAAACGAACTAATAATATAAACAAATTGATATATTCAAAGTTTAATGTAACTTTTTTTAATTTTTCAAATAAATAAAAATAAAAAGTGTTTTTAAAATTGAACGAACGTAAAATTGAACACGTTCATCAAAGAAAAGGAACGCGTTCACGTTCAAAGTTCGTCAAAAAAAAAAAGGAACGCCGTTCATCACCTTTTTCCAAAAAAACGAACTTCGTTCACGAACGCGTTCATTTTGAACACGTTCGTTTACAACACTAGTTTTTACCAAATGCTGTTCATAATAAAGTCTAACACCAAGCTATCGGACTGCATTAGTTGCTAGCTTAGGGCTATGCAACAAAGATATGGGTTGGTGTTTATAATACCAATTTTATTAGACACTATACCCACCATCTTATGTAAAATCTAAAAAATAGGGCTGTGGAGCAGAAGCTAAGGCTATGCAACAAAGATAAAGTTGGTGTTTATTTTCGATCAGGAAAAATATTAATTAATTTTATAAAATAAATATCTAAATTATGGGGTCCCTATTTTTTTTGGTAAAGAAAAACTTATTAAAGAAATATTCTATTTCTTACTTATTTCTTTTTTCATCAACTCAGATGTTTTTTTAAACTTGTGGAGGTTAATAAGGTTTAGAAATTTGTAAAATATGGGTATATATATTCATTTATACTATTGAATTTTTCATTTTTGTAAATAATTCCATTGAAAATGAAATATGATTTATTTTTTCAATATTTATTTTATAATAAAAATTTACCATATTTATGCCTGATTTCTAATATGATGCTAAACTTCGAGCTTAATAAATTAAATGATTTATTATAAAATTTCCTGTTGTCGTAAATATAGAAAAATTAAAAAAATAAAAGATAAAGGATTTATGACAATAATTGTTAAAATCATAAATTGTTGTTTTCTGAATATATTTCCCTTGAATAGGTAATTAAGGGTTAAAGGATGTGAGAGAATGTAGAAAGTTAAAAAATGCTGGTTGAATGAACAATACACAAGGTAAGGTTAATAAGAATGAAATCATTCTATGATATGTATGAGGGGAATGTTTAATATGGTATTTTTAAAATTTTTTAAAAATTTCTCTTTCAAAGCATTTGGTAAAATCTAATAAGAGTATTTTTGTCCAGCATATTTTTGTACAAGATTCAATTGATATAGCAGTCAAAATATATAAGAATTTTAATATATTATCAAAATACTTTTAGATTTGTCAGGATTTCTTGCTGAACTATTTCATTTATTATTTTTTATTTTTCTTACTTTCAAAAGATTTACATACAAATATGATATGTCTTAAATTTAATTAGATCTCATTACAATATATATGAACTAGATATATGTGTTTTACCTCCATAGAGATACAAGTAAAAATAAATCTGTTGGCCAAAATCTTAATGGGACTTAAAAAATCGTGTAAAAAATAAAAAGTTATATATTTTTGGAAATTTATATTGTTAAAAATATTGTTCAACCTTTTTTAAAAAGTGATAAATGTATATTTTAGCCAATAAAATATTATACAAGCCTCAATATTTCTGCAGTGATGATATTTTGAGGATTGGATCATATTTCGACTAAAAACTAGATTTTAACCATTTTTAAAAGTTTAAACCAATATGGAATAAAGAGAATTATTTTATAATATTCTTATACTGCTCCTGCAATATTTGAACATTGGATACGGCCCAGGGGCTAGTCAAGGTATGCAATTATCATATTCATAAAGATCTATTTTGACTAAGAACTTAATTATCATTTAAAATTTATCCATATTTCCTCTAATTTCTTTAAACTTGAATACAATACTTTATGCGATTTTTATGTCATCTAAATCAATATAATTTTGAGAGATAATAGTACCTAAGTCTAGTAAAGTGTCTTCTTCTGAAGAGAGGTCCTTCAGGCCATTCTGTCATTTCACTAAATGCACTTAAGCTTCTCTAACCATAAAATATGTGATTATTTGATTGTGAAGGCTTGTAAAAAAATATTTTAATTATCTGCATTTTTTAGCTTTTGAAGGGAAGATTGCCCTATCACCCAGTCACCATTAGCTACACATCAGATAACTTCGTTATTTTAAATGTTTTTAGCAGCATGAAAATGTTATCTATCGATTTATAATGTTTTTTAAGGTTGAAAATTTTATTTAAAATCACATATATTAGAATTTAGAATTATAAATGATCTTCATATATGTGTAATTGATCGAATATTTTATAATTATTTTAACTGTTTTTTTATATTTAATTAAATTATAGTTAATTAATACAATTTAAAGGCTATGTTTCCTTTGTCCAGTAAATTACTCAAAATGGACAGTATTTTTATTATCAACGAATTAATCCTTTGGGCAGTATTTATAAATTTTTTGGCATTTTTCAAAATTGACAATATTTTTTCATCAAAAAAAATTGAGCAGAAAAAAAATTAAGTTGATTTGACTAAAATTGTATTGTACAGTATATATTTGAAAGTTGTTTAGTATTTATATTAATATCTTTTTATTAGCTGTATATTATATGAAAATTAATATATCAAATATAAAAAAGTTAGCAAATTGAATAAAATAGCAAAATAGTTATGGAATTGCAGTTATTAAAAATAATTTTTATGTCAAAATATTTAATTTAAACTTACATATTCTACAACAAAAACTATTTATACAAATATCTTTTTTTATTTTAAGTTATCAAGAATATTTTATGAAAATTAACATAAATATATATAAATTAGTAATACCCAAAGTAAGTCATTGTTCATGACTTTTGCAGCATCTGATATTAATACTTATATTTTAACACAATGTCCAGATATCTGTTTTACACCATTAATTGAAGATTTAAAAATAAATCATGATTTTTTGTTTTTTTGATTACAGCACTCCAATTTCCAAATAATGGAAATGCCTATTTGCATCAGAAGTACCTACAACTATTAATGGGAACCTATGCCACATTTATTTCAGAAATTAGTATTAATGATTTTTCAATAAGCCATTCTTCCAATTCCCCTTAAGCCTATATTTGATGGCCAATATTTTTTTGTCTTTAGTCTCATTAAAAAATTTCTTATATTGAATGTAATATTAAGAAAATTTTTTGTAAATTTTCCATGATCATTTAGGTTTGAGGCCTATTTTAAATAAAGTTTCTATCTTTAATTGTACATCACAAGGCATTTTGAAGATTTTAATTTCAATAAGTTCATGATTATGATATTGAGATGTGTATGTTACATCATCATTATTAGAAATATAAAAGAAATAAATTCTTGCAGCATATTGTGCTCCTCACTTTTTAAAACTAAATCAAATCTATTATCCAACCCTCTGTATCATTTGTGTATGGTTGTACCCAGGAATTACTATTTAGATATTTTTTGACTTCAGAATTTTTGAGGATCTCTTTCTTAAACCAGCAATATCTTTGATTTTTTATTTTTCCATCTAAAAAAATTAGAACTGCCCAATAAGTATAAAACTGGAGAATTATTTATTAACTGATCAAAAATTTAAATACCTGCCTCATTTTAAAACTGCCTATTTATTTTAAATACTGCCTAAATCAGTAAAAGAACTTGAAAATTAAATATTAACTGCTCAGAAATTTAAAATACTACTGCCCATTTTATTTGTCGTCTAATTTAAATATTGTCAAAATATGCAATTGTGTTGATTAAAGGTCTGCATTGGGCGGGTTTTTGGACCAAAAGCCCGCCTACCCAATGTTTTAAATAAAATTTAATCTGCCCGTGCGCCTCTGTTTTCAAAAAAATATAAACCCGCCCGCCTTGCCCATTAGTTTAAAAATCCTTAGCCAGCCA